GAACGAAGTTACCAGATCAAGTATGAATGATGGTGAATGGGGCAGGTGATGCATTCCAGGAGGAGAGATTAGTCGGAACACAAACACCACACAAAATCTCACAAAGGCTGAGTTATTGACTCTAAAATCAAAGATCAAAACTGACTCAGCCGAGGAGAAATAGGGAAAGAAATGAAAATCGACTGGTTGGGTTGCCTCCCAACAAGCACTTCTTTCACGTCGTGAGCCGGACGGTGGATCCTAAGTTTCGGTCCATGCTAGAACCTCTTTGAAGTTGAGGTTCTCATCTATGAGGTGGAGTCTCAAGTCACGAGCATTTGGTGTGGCAGGTGATGAAGGCTCGTGCACTTGATGCAGATGAAGTCTCCACCCTCGAGACCTATTCTTCTCTCGTCTCATTGCCCCAACCAGATATGACAGCACCAATTGACCACCATCACGTCCACCAAGAGGGACCGATCTCGATGTGGCCTTGGTCTGGCAAAGAGACACTGCAAATGGGTCCTTGCCAAGCAGTTCCTCGACGAAAAAAATGCTTATAAAGCAAAATTTCTGTGTTTTATCCCCTTTATTTAGCTGTATCAGCCTTTTCTTAGAGCTTACAGGTTCGAAGGTTGTTTGTTGACTATGCTGCTTCTTTCTTTGGCTTGACTAATGGTAGGTCAAGACGAGCATGAATGGACGTTAGGAGGAGCGTAAATTCTCTACTTTTCTTGGTGTGGTCGAAGATCAGGCTTGACTGACCGACTTCATTGACGGCGCATTTCGTTCTGGGTGGTGTGGAAAAAGAGGAGTATTAGCAGAAGTAAAGAAGGGAAAACCCATAGATTGAAGAGAGGTGCCATCAAGGTTGTATTGGTGGGGATATTACTTGTAACATAGGGCCGATGCAAGCCTCTTCCATGTCAACTTCATCCCCAACATGGACGCCAATTACTCTTTCAACCCCCCTTTCTTCAAAATGTGGTATTGCCCCTGGGAAAAGATCAAGAACTTCCTCTAATTCACTTCCGCCATCCTCCACAAATTCTTTCCCCATCCTTTCTCGCTCTTCTTGTAGCACTGATTGGAGAGCAAGTCGCCAAACAATTTCTTTCATGAGATCATCTTGCATCTCCTTGCTCATGGCCACCTCTTCAAAGCTCGGTGTGGGATGTGAGAAGGTGTGGTCGGCTACGACATGACATTTTTTTTATCATGATCATCACAGGAGCTCTCCGTGACAACTTATGTCTGCTCCACATTGTCTTCGTAGCCTTCGTCTTCCTCCTCCTCTTCTAGTATAGTAGCAGAAGGGTGATCTTGAGCAAGCCGTGCATAAGATTTCTCAAGATCCTCGAGGCTCTTCTTAATGCTCAGGAGGATCTCCTCTGTTTCACGATAGGCCTGGGTACAAAGATCCATCTTGGAGTATGATCTCTCAGTGTCTCGAGCAAACTACTCCACGAGAAGCCTCAATTCATAGTTTGGATCTGGCCGTGGAGTGTAGCATGGCTCTGCAGAATGACCCGTGAAGGCCGCCATGGCTAACTCCTGCTCCGATTGCCCTTCTCGTCGTGGGAGAAATTCTTCTTGATAAAGAGGTTGTTCTTGATATGCCCAGGGGTCTGATTGTTCTCCGTAGTAAGGGGGTTGGTACTGGAACCCAAATCCATAGTCTTCTCCTCCTTGATTGCTCCAGGAAGTCTCGGGGTAATACCACTCCGATTGTGGTGGATACCCCCAATGGTTGGAGAAGCTATGATGATCCATGATTCAGATCTGCACCAACAAAAATAAAAACACCCAAGTGAAAAGCAAGGGTGGAAAAGAAAAAGAAAAAAAAAGAAAAGCTAAATTAACAAACTTCTGCCAAAAACTTGACACGCTACGACAAAACACCTAACAATGGCCAAGTGTAACCAATGAAAGGGACTGCAGTATAGTGGCACAAGTAATAAATATCGAATCCACGGACTCTAGAGTTACTATTACTCAGCTTCAGTTTATTATCTAGCAAACTAGATTAAGGATTGATTTACTAAACTACTATGCTAACTACTCTACTAATTACAGGTTGTGAACTCACTTAGGTATGATTCCCCCTAGCTCCTCAATTAGGTCCAAGTTGTAATTCCTTTTGGTTGTTTTACTGTTGATTAAACTGCAGAAGATCCTAAATTAGTTTGGAATCTCTTAAGCTGACCAAGCTCTCTTAGACAGAATACCCGGCAGGCGACTAGCCTTCACCGGGATAGACTGCTAAGGCGATTCACACAAATCTCCACTACTGGGAACGAATTCCAGTACAAAGCAGTGAATTGACTGACTCTCATACAATCAACTCACTCCTATCAATTGAAGAAGCTCTATCAACCTAATCAGATTCTATCTATCATAGGTTAAAGCAGAAATCAAGAGAATTTGATAAGGATTCAATTGACTCAATAGATCATTCCTCAATCGATTATAATCAAAAAAATATAGCATCCAAAGATTCAAACAACCAAGATCCTAACACATGGAACTAGGGTTCCTCAAAACCTAAGTGAATGGAAGTTACTCCATAGAGAAGAGAGAGACTGCAGGAATCTGATCTAGATCTTCAATCTCCATCTCCAAGCTTGACTCCTGAGCTCCAATGGCGAAGAAATCCTCCAAAATAGCTCCAATAATGTTCCCAAGTCGCGCTCTCTCTAGGGTTCGTCCCTTGGGTGTTTGGGAACCAAAATCCAGCTCTCTGTCTCTAAAATTCGCAGAAAATATACTTATACCCGAGCAGGGACAAAAACACGGCCGTGTTTAGTCCTGTCCGTGTTTTTGTCCCGCCCGTGTTTTAAATCCCTTCAGCAGTCTTCACAAGAGAGGCTCGGCATAAAAAACACTAGCAGGTGCCAGATGAAACACGTCCGTGTTTTGAGGGTAGTCTGCCCGTGTTTTTACTGCCGAACCTGTTCCCCTATATTCAATGCTTCGTTTCTCCCTCGTCCAGACTCCAAATCAGTTGCCGTTTGATCCCAGACGTTCGTAGTCTCGTCCTTTTTCTTTTCATGACAAGATTTCATGATTCCTTGTCTATAAATGAGGTATAAATCCATTCTTCTTCAGGTCATGCACGAGTTTCTTCTCCCGAATCGCAAATTAATATCCGATTGACTTGAAACTTGCGCCTAGCCTTTCCTTTGACGCTTGGGACCTAAAATGTGACAAAGTAATACAAACTAGCGTAAAATAGGCCAAAGAATCGATAATGCAAGCTTAAACGATCAAGAAACAAAGGGAAAAACATGTGCAAATACCTGACCTGCGCATCTGAAGCCACACCGAATAGTATGAGATCATCAGTGAAGAATAAGTGTGACAGTGTCGGACCTGAGCTAGAGAGTCGGATCGGTCGCCAGCTTCCCTCCTCTACTGCATCTTGGATCAAGTGCCCCAATCTCTCCATGCACAGGGTGAAAATATACGGCGAGAGAGGGCAACCCTGTCTCAACCCCTGGGAAGGTGAGAACTCCTCCGTCAGACCGCCATTCCACTGGATGCACATTTTTCGCCGTAGAGATGCACTTCATAGTTAACTCTGTGAATTTTTCCGGGAAACCTGCAACTGCTAGGGTATCTCGCACGAATTCCCATCTGATTCGATCGTAGGCCTTAGCATGATCCACCTTTATCACCATCCACCCAGATCGTTCCGTTTTTTCTCTCATAGAATGAACCACTTCAATTGTCAAAAAAAAAAAAAAATGAACCACTTCTTGCAAAACACATATATTGTCAGTAATGTGTCGTCCTGGTACAAAGCTTGTCTGGGTTTCATGCACCAGGGCGGGCATGAAAGGTTTCAGTCTCTCTGCTAAGGACTTTGTAAGGATCTTATAGCCAACGTTGCAAAGACTTATCGGCCGAAATTGTTCAATCTGAACGGGTCTTTTAACTTTTGGGATGAGAACCAGAATTGTTTCATTCACTTCTCTTATTTTCGGTGGCTCTTCCCGGCAGTTACTCGCAAAATCATGTACCGCTGGAGCTACAACATCCCAAAACCGCTGGAAGAATAGTGGGTTCAGCCCATCTCGCCCCGGTGCCTTAAGAGGACCCATCATGGAGACTGCCGCTTTAAGCTCTTCAGTTGAAAACTCTTTCCCAAGCTCTCTGACTCGACTCTACTGTCACTCTAGAAAATGGCCAAGTATAACCACTTCCTAAAGCGTAGTATAGCGGGTTAGGTTTATATGTCAACCCGGGTCCTAGATGTGATGACTACTCAGTGAATTCGTATTATCTAGCAATGAAACTTTAGTGAGGTTCTAAACTAACAAGCAAGCAAAGTAACTAAAACGGTTGTATTCAGGTTAAGAGAGGTCACCCGGATATGGTTCCCCCTAGTCTGCAGTTAAGCCGGATTGTAATTACCAAGTTCAGTTTCTATGAAGATTATACTGCGGAAGGTTCTTAAACAGCCTGAAGTCTCGACTAAAGGTCTTCAGACCCTCTCAATCTGACTCTCTAGCGGGCGACTAACCTCCACCGGAGTCGACAGATTGAGGCCCTAAGAACAAAACCTCCACTACCGGAGTAAATCCGGTACAGAATAGTGAGTTGGCTCCTCGACTAAAGTCACCAACTCCCTACCTTCAATCAAGGATACTCTATTAACCTAGGCAGATATTCTCATTCTAGGTTAAAGCAGAAACAACAGGAATTTGATCAGGATTCAAGTCATTCAATCATAAAACCTCAATCGAATATAATCAATCACAGAATCAGTACTTGGGTTCATACAATCGAACCTAACATACAGAACTAGGGTTTCCCACACCCAGATGAATGGGAGAACTACTCCATGGAGAGAGAAGCAAAAGCAGAATCAGACGCGGAAATCATACTGTGAAGATGGATTTCTGCTCCTGGACGTTGAATCGGCACTTCTCCAAGCTCAAACCAAGCTCCAATGGTGTTGAAGATCGATCTAAGGCACTTGGAGACTCTTGTTCGTCGCTTTCTCTCTCTAGGAATCGTTCTATCTCTCTAAAACTCGAATCCCCTTCTGTTTGCTCGAATTAGGCTTTAAAATCAGTTTTCCCCGAGTTGCACGGCCAGGGTGCACGGCCGTGCACATCACCATTCTGGCCGTGCACCCTAAAACGCGCCGTTTCATTTATTCGCCTTCATCCATCTTGCACGGCCAGGCGCACGGCCGTGCACATCTGGATTGTGCCCGTGCAAGCTCTCGCACCAACCCGCACGGCCAGGTTTGTATGTTGCACGGCCGTGCGGTTCTTTGCTTTGCCCGTGCAAGCTCTCGGCATGAGGCGCACGGCCATATGGTGCAAGTGCACGGCCGTGCGTCTCCATGGTCTGGCCGTGCGGCTCCCCAACAAGCTCGTCCTTCGTCCGTTCGTCGTCCAATCGACCCCAAACTCGCTCCTAAGCCCTTATTCACGTACTAGGACCTGAAATAACACAAACAAACACAACCTAGCGTGAAATCGGCCTAAAACACGAGAATCAACACCTCAAACGGAGTAAGAGCAGGGGTAAAAACATGTGTAACTAACGGTCTATCAAACTCCCCCACACTTAACCGTTTGCTTGTCCCCAAGCAAACCAAGTCAGACACTAGGCAAGCTTACATATCACAATCAACCAACATTGGGGACAAGTCATACAGGCACAGAACACGTGAATCGCACTGGTTTTCAAACATCAATACATGCACAACCTCAATAACAACCTGGACAACCCCCACAAAGGACATTCGAGTGCAGCAAATCGAGTACAGGAAGAGTCTCCCTTCTGTTTACTGGCCAACCTAGACTTGATTCAACCACTTACTCAAAACAGTCAACTCATGCATCCAACTCAAGACATCATAATAGAGACCGAGCAATCTAGGTCCTCACCGGGGTACAAGAGCGTATAGAAAATGAAAATGAATCACTCACTCTCGACCAGTGGGGTCAGGACAATTTGATGCGAAAGATGCGCATGCTATTTCTCTCAATACCTATCATCTCTTCACCATGATGGCAGCCTCTAAATGCTAGAGTTCACATGTGGGGTGTCACCACTAACTAATCAGGAGGTCTTAGACACAGGTTCAAATGACTGGCTAGGGTCTTGGACATGGGGAAAAGGCCTTTTAAGTGGTGGAAGTATTCATAGCAAAAGGTTCCACATTTTCCAAACACACAATCACAGTCAAACAACCCGGTATTTTCTTTCTGCTATTCTGCATTACTCAATATCTTAAGAGCACAAGAGCGAAGGAGGCAAAAACAACAGTATTTCCAAGCCAGACTGCTAAGAAACACTACTTACTGGGCATTACTCAGATTTTTGGTAGCGGCTCTCTTTTGCTTACAATTTCTTCTTTGTTTTTCTTTTATTTTTCTTTTCATTTCTTAAGAGAGCCACCACTTCTGCACAATTCAAACATCTGCCCAACTTTTAAGCACTACCTCCAACACTCATATAGACTTAAGCAGAAACAGCAGAGACAATATAAAAACCACTCTGTGGAACCTTCTAAAAGATGCAACAAGGGTGATTTTCTCCATTATAGACCAAAAGAAAGGATAACACACGGCTCAAAGGGGCTGACTAGGGGATATGACACATCAGGACAGTCAGTTTTGGGCGTGGGCTAATCCTATGCCCCCATCATTTTAGCTAGTGACAACGTGAATGCTACACATCATGGAAGAGGGATCTATCGCACAAGAAAGAAACGAGCATGCTCAAATCTCACATGGCTACCTATATGCTCTATCTCACATTTTGATACCCTGAACTAGATGCATAAACGACTGTCAAGAACAAGTAATCAGATCAAGTCAGATCAAGTCACAGTTGGCAAGCAGACAGTTGAAAAACTGAACCCCTACATCGTTCTACTGCACATCTCAGTCCTCATCATAGGTTGTCCTAGTCGCAAACAAGTTGTCATGCATTAATTCAAAAACCAATCAATTCATCCATCAAAACACAGTGCCAATATGATCAAACAGCAGTACTTGGAGCCCTCAAATCGTAAGATTCGGACAGTGGACTAGGCTCCAAGCACACAAACAGATCTAATGCAGTCAAAAGATAAACACCCCCCCACACTTAAGATCGACATTGTCCTCAATGGAGAAGAGGAAAGGAAAGGGGAACGATGTTACCGGTATGCACAGACTGCAGGAGACTGGAAACGGGCCAGGCGGGAACACAGCACAGCTCAAGGGAAACAGAAGAGCTCAACCAGAATATGTTAGGTCCGACGTCAGCCCAATAAGACATCATCCAGAACAAAGAAAACAAACCAAAACCAAACCAAAACGCAATCCGACTCGAAACATAAGAAAGAAAGTCAAACCGTGGTGGGGTTGCCTCCCCACAAGCGCTTCTTTACCGTCTTTTAGCTGGACGCCCATGGTGGATACTCAGGGAAGTGCAGGGACAGGTCCCTCCAAGAGCGGATCCACATCGCTCTTGAGGTACAGCTTCAGGTGGTGACCGTGCACCCGACGGTTGCAACCACCAGCAGAAGTCAGCTCGACCTGGCCATCCGGCAAGATGCAGGCGAGGGAGTACTCGGATGGCCAGGGTGGTCGTGGTGCGGGGGGTGGGACCAGCTCATAGTGGTCTCCACTCTTCTTCCGTGCAGGCTTAGCCACCTGCGGCTTCGGCCGCCACTCCTCCTTGAGCTTTTTGTTCGAAGGCGAGGCTGGAGGGAGTGGCGGCGGAGGAATGATAGGCGGGTCCTGCAAAATGAGAGGTGCAGAAGGGTACACGACAGGCTCGTGTACCTGATCAGAAATAGCATGCACAGGCGATACAGAAATCATAGCACAATGATCAAAGTCAGTCACAGGAAAAATAGCCTGTTCATTTCCAGCACGCAAGATCAGTTTACCATCATGCACATCAATCAGTGCCTTGGCGGTGGCAAGAAACGGTCTACCTAGAATCAAAGGCACATCCACATCATCATTTATATCCAGAATCACAAAATCAACAGGATATGTGAATGCACCCACATTAACAAGCAAATCTTCTATGATACCCCTAGGATGCACCACGGAACGATCAGCTAGCTGAATGCTCATCCTAGTAGGGCTAAGTTCACCTAGGTCTAGCTTTTTGAACAATTTATATGGCATGACATTGATGCTAGCTCCTAGGTCCGCCAAGGACTTTCCTATATGCATTCTGCCAATAGTAAGAGGGATAGTAAAACTCCCTGGATCCTTGCGCTTTTCGGGCAGCTTGTTCTGCAGGATGGCAGAACATTCCTCGCTCAGCAGCACTGTCGAGAGATCTCCTAGTTTCTTCTTGTTGGTGCAGAGATCTTTCATGAACTTCGCGTACTTGGGCATCTTCGACAGTGCCTCCACAAATGGTACGCTGATGTTGAGCTGCTTCAGCATTGCCATGAACTTGGCAAACTCAGTCTCCAGCTTATCTTTATGGAGGCGAGTGGGGAAGGGAAGCTGGGGTACGTGCTCCTTCACCACTGGTTGTGGCTTGGGAGCAGGGGCTTCCTTCTCCACCCGCACTTCTGCATCACCGGCTGGAAGTGCTGAAGCAGGTAGTGGTTCCTCCTGCCTGGTCGGGGCAGGATCAGCTGATGTAGGCCTGCCGCTCCTGGTGAAAATGGCATGGGCAGTCTCGTGAGGGCCGCGAGGATTGGGGACAGTGGTGGCAGGCAGAGTCCCCGGCGCCCTGGTAGTATTCTGGCGAGCTAAGTCCCCTATCTGATGCTGGAGATCCTGCAGAATGGCACCCTGGTTCCTCTGGCCTGCCTCCAGTGAAGCTATGGCCTGATCCATCCTCGTGAAATTTGCCTGGCTGGTGGTCATGAATGCTGCCAAAATGTTCTCAAGCTTGGTCATCTGATTATCGGGAGCTGGTGCTGCTGCTGGCTCGGCATACTGACGCTGAGGCTGCTGGAATGGTTGCCCCTGTCTAGCCTGGAAAGGCTGCCTCTGCTGAAAACCACCTGCTGGTGCTGGGAAACCAGGTGGTTTATTGGTGTTGTTGCTCCAGGCGAAGTTGGGATGCTGGCGCCATCCCTCATTGTATGTGTTACTGTATGGATCGAGGCGCCGAGCATTGGCGATGAAAGCCAACTGTTCTTGGGGAGTAGAGGACTCCCGCATAGCCTGGCAGTCCTCCACCAGATGGTTTGGACTCTCACACCACTGGCACTGAGCTACTGGAGGCGCAGCTACACCTCGGCCCGGAAGGAGACTGTTAGGCTGCTTCAGTGTCTGCACCAACTCAGCCACCTGCTGCTCTAACCCGGATCTGGCCTCTATAGCATGCACACCACGGTCCCGGGAGTACCTGCCTCTGCTGCTCTGCCCCCAGGAATGATCGCGGGCAGCCAAAGTACTGATCATCTAGTTCAGCTCGGGTGGAGTCTTAGTAAGGATATCCCCTCCTGGGCATAGAGACTCGATCACCCTCTGGCTGTCTGGGGTGATGGCACTGTAGAAGTTCCCCACTGTGAAAGCATCGCTGAAGCCATGATGGGGACACTGCCAGAAGTATCCCATGTACCGCTCCCATGCATCACGAAGGGACTCATCTGGCTCTTGGCGGAAATGAGTGATCTCCCGCTGAATCTCAGTAGTCTTCGATGCCGGATAATATCTGTGCACGAACTTATCCGCCAGATCGTCCCAAGAAGTGATGGACAGTGGGGGCTGGGTCTCCAACCACCTCTTAGCATTCCCCGCCAGAGAATGGGGGAAGAGGTGAAGGCGGATTGCCTCATCCGGAACACCATTCAGCTTGAACCCGTTCGTCAGCTGCAGAAAACGGGAAAGGTGTGCCCGGGCTTCCTCATCCTTCAAGCCATGGAACTGGATAGAGGATGTGATGAGCTGAATCCAGCCTGGCTTGATCTCGAAGTTATTTGCTGGGACGGGTGGATAGAGGATGACCGGGTGGATGTCAGCAATCCGTGGAGTGTAGTAGTACTCCAAGGTGGGACCCGGCGGTGGTGGTGGATGCTGATTCACCGGGGGAGCCTGTCGAGCATTCCCCGGTTGTGGGATGTCTTCGCCCTCCATCTCGTACTCTTCCTCAGAATCGCTGGTCAAGTGGCCGTCTATGCGCTCTCCCGTAACCAGTCTAGCTCGCTGCTGTCTCCTAAGTTGGCGGCAAGTGCGTTCAAGCTCTGGATCCAACGGCAGTAAACCTCCTGACTGGCTACGGGTCATGCACTACCTGCACACACTCAAGCAAGCAAACCCGTGAAGGCACAAGTGGGACAAAGCAAACAAAGCGAAAAGAAAAGCTAGAGTAACAGAAATCACTTTTCTTCAACAACCTAGCCGTCCCCGGCAACGGCGCCAAAAACTTGACTCGACTCTACTGTCACTCTAGAAAATGGCCAAGTATAACCACTTCCTAAAGCGTAGTATAGCGGGTTAGGTTTATATGTCAACCCGGGTCCTAGATGTGATGACTACTCAGTGAATTCGTATTATCTAGCAATGAAACTTTAGTGAGGTTCTAAACTAACAAGCAAGCAAAGTAACTAAAACGGTTGTATTCAGGTTAAGAGAGGTCACCCGGATATGGTTCCCCCTAGTCTGCAGTTAAGCCGGATTGTAATTACCAAGTTCAGTTTCTATGAAGATTATACTGCGGAAGGTTCTTAAACAGCCTGAAGTCTCGACTAAAGGTCTTCAGACCCTCTCAATCTGACTCTCTAGCGGGCGACTAACCTCCACCGGAGTCGACAGATTGAGGCCCTAAGAACAAAACCTCCACTACCGGAGTAAATCCGGTACAGAATAGTGAGTTGGCTCCTCGACTAAAGTCACCAACTCCCTACCTTCAATCAAGGATACTCTATTAACCTAGGCAGATATTCTCATTCTAGGTTAAAGCAGAAACAACAGGAATTTGATCAGGATTCAAGTCATTCAATCATAAAACCTCAATCGAATATAATCAATCACAGAATCAGTACTTGGGTTCATACAATCAAACCTAACATACAGAACTAGGGTTTCCCACACCCAGATGAATGGGAGAACTACTCCATGGAGAGAGAAGCAAAAGCAGAATCAGACGCGGAAATCATACTGTGAAGATGGATTTCTGCTCCTGGACGTTGAATCGGCACTTCTCCAAGCTCAAACCAAGCTCCAATGGTGTTGAAGATCGATCTAGGGCACTTGGAGACTCTTGTTCGTCGCTTTCTCTCTCTAGGAATCGTTCTATCTCTCTAAAACTCGAATCCCCCTCTGTTTGCTCGAATTAGGCTTTAAAATCAGTTTTCCCCGAGTTGCACGGCCAGGGTGCACGGCCGTGCACATCACCATTCTGGCCGTGCACCCTAAAACGCGCCGTTTCATTTATTCGCCTTCATCCATCTTGCACGGCCAGGCGCACGGCCGTGCACATCTGGATTGTGCCCGTGCAAGCTCTCGCACCAACCCGCACGGCCAGGTTTGTATGTTGCACGGCCGTGCGGTTCTTTGCTTTGCCCGTGCAAGCTCTCGGCATGAGGCGCACGGCCATATAGTGCAAGTGCACGGCCGTGCGTCTCCATGGTCTGGCCGTGCGGCTCCCCAACAAGCTCGTCCTTCGTCCGTTCGTCGTCCAATCGACCCCAAACTCGCTCCTAAGCCCTTATTCACGTACTAGGACCTGAAATAACACAAACAAACACAACCTAGCGTGAAATCGGCCTAAAACACGAGAATCAACACCTCAAACGGAGTAAGAGCAGGGGTAAAAACATGTGTAACTAACGGTCTATCAGTTGTTCTAGAGAAGTATACGTCCCTCTAGGCAATTGACTCAAGAGGACCTTGTTCCTTTAGTCGAGACTCAAGGTCTAGTCAAGGATTCTCCACATTGTGAATGAAAGTGAAACAAGTTAGAAATCATCAATCGTTAATCTGGCTACTGGCTAGGGGGATCATACCTAAGTGAGTTCCCAACCTGTAATTAGATTAACTTTAACTGTAGTTTGCTAGAGTAGTTTTAGTTCTTTCATCTTAATCTGGTTTGCTAGATAATGAACTGAAGCTGAGTAATACTAACTCTAGAGACCCATGGATTCGATATTTATTACTTGAGCCACTATACTGCAGTCCCTTTCATTGGTTACACTTGGCCATTGTCAGGAGTTGTGTCATAGCGAGTCACTGACCAAGCCCTCTCAGTCCAACTACCCGGCAGGCGACTAACCTTCACCGGGATAGAAAGTTGAGGCTATGAAGACAGGTTGCAGCAGAAATCAAGAAAAGTTGATCAGACTTCAATCAATTCAATGAATCATGCATCATTCGATTATAATCAAACAGTATAACAATCCCAAGTCATTACAATCAAAATCCCTAACACATGGAACTAGGGTTCTTCATACCCAAGTGAGAGAAAGTTCTACTCCATAGAGAGAGAGGGGAAAACAGAATACAAAGCAGTCATACTCATAACAATGGGAAGAATCTGCTCTGGGATGATGATTTTCACTCCTATGATGATCTCCAAGCTTGATTTGATGAAACCCAGCTCCAAAACCACTCTTAGGATGTGTTCTTCGCACTTTCTCTCTCTAGGGCTCTGTTTTTGCTCCAAAAAGTCGATTCTCTCACTTTTGGCTCGGAATTGGGTAAAACCCTAGATTTTCCCGACTCACACGGGCAGGCCACACAACCGTGTGGCTTACCCAGATGCCCGTGTGAGTTCCAAAATGCTGCGTCTCAATTAATTGGGCTTCAGGCTTCCCACACGGCCAGGGACACACGGCCGTGTGGAATTTCCACCATGCCCGTGTGAGCTCTCGATAAAAACCACACGACCACAAGGGTGACTTGCACGGCCATGTGGGTTCCAGGAATGCCTGTGTGGCTTCCTCAGCGCCTCACCACGCGTCCGATCTTCGTCCAATCGACCCCAAACTCGCTCCCAAGCCTCCATTCACGTACTAGGACCTGAAATATCACAAACAAGCACAACCTAGCGTGAAATCTGCCTAAACACGAGAATTAACATCTCAAACGGTGTAAGAATAGGGGTAAAAACATGTGCAATTAACGGTCTATCAAACTCCCCCACACTTAACCGTTTGCTTGTCCCCAAGCAAACTAAGTCAGGCACAAGGTAAGCTCACATTTTCAATCATACCAACGTTGGGGACAAGTCATAAAGGCACAGAACACGTGAATCGTACTGGTTTTCAAACATCAACACATGAACAACTTCAATAGCAACCTGGACAACCACCACAAAGGACATTCGAGTGCAGCAAAATCGAGTAAAGGAAGAGTCTCCCTTCTGTTCACCAACCAACCTAGACTTGACTCAACCACTTACTCCAGACAGTCACCTCATGCACAAAACTCAAGATATCATAATAGAGACCGAGCAATCTAGGTCCTCACTGGGGTACAAGAGTATAGAGAATATGAGAAAATGAATCACTCACTCTCGGCCAGTGGGGTCAGGACAATTTGATGCGAAAAATGCGCATGCTTATTCTCTCAATCCCTAACATCTCTTTACCATGACAGCAGCCTCTAAGTGTTAGAGCTCACATAAATAGGTGTCATCACTAACTAATCCGGAGGTCTTAGACACAGGTTCAAATGACTGGCTAGGGTCTTGGACATGGGGAAAAGGCCTTTTAGGTGGTGGAAGTATTCATAGCACAAGGTTCCACAATTCCAACCCAACACAATCACAGTCAATCAAACCAATTCTTTCTCTCCGCCATTCTGCATTACTCAAATTATTTTAGAGCACAAGAGCGAAGGAGGTTATATAAATATCAGCATTTCCAAGCCAAACTGCTAAGAAACACTACTTAATTGGCACTATTCAGATTTTTGGTAGTGGCTCTCTTTTGCTTTCATTTTTTCCTTTGTTTTTCTTTCATTTTCTTTTTCATTTCTTAAGAGAACCACCACCTCTGCACATTTATCAAACACATGCCCGACTTTTAAGCACTACCTCCAACCCTCACATTAAATTTAGCAGAAACAGCAGAGAACATGTAAAAACCACTCTATGGAACCTTTTAAAAGATGCAAAAGGGTGATTTTTCATTGTAGACCGAAAGAAAGGATAACACACGGCTCAAAGGGGCTGACTGGGGGGTATGACACACCAGGACAGTCAATTTGGTCGTGGGCTAATCATATGCCTCCATCATCTTAACTAGTGACAACGTGAATGCTACACATCATGGAAGAGGGATCTATCGCACAAGAAAGAAACGAGTAGGCTCAAATCTCACATGGCTACCTATATGCTCTATCTCTCATTCTGATTCCCTGAACTAGGTGCATAAACGACTGTCAAGAACAAGTGATCAATCCAAGTCACAGTTGGTAAGCAAACAGTTGAAAAACTGAACCCCTACACAATTCTACTGCACGTCTTAGTCATCATTATAGGTTGTCCTAGTCACAATCCAGTTGTCATGCATCAATCCAAAAACCATTCAATTCATCAATCAAAACACAGTGCCAATATGATCAAATAGCAGTACTTGGAGCCCTCAAATTGTAAAATTCGGACAGCGGACTAGGCTCCAAGCACACATATATAGATTCCAACCTATACAAAGCGCCCCCCCCCCCCCCCCCCACTCTTAAGCACGACATTGCCCTCAATGGAGTAGAGGGAGAGATAAGGGGAACGATGTTACCGGATTGAAATACTGCCGGGGGACTGGAAACAAACGGGAAGATGGACAGTTCTACACGAATCGAACATCAAGAACACACTAGAACACTGTGCGTTAGGGATCAGTAGCCCAGACGGCCACAAAATAAACAATCCTCAAAAGAAAAAGAAAAACACAAACAAACGACAAACTAAGTTCAAGCTCCGCACACACATGGAGCAAACACAAAAAGTCTAAAACGAAAAACACACTCAGAGGGGCAAATAGTACAGCCTACTCGTCACCAAGGTTATCCAGGTCGATGTCATTCATGAAAGCGTCATCGTCATCCGCTGGTGGAGGTGGAAGTGGAGAGTCCTCCCAGGGAGTCCTCCAGAATGGCTGCTCGCCCGATAGCAGCTGGAGCAGGTGATGCTGGACCTCCTGCGTGCGCCTAGATCGAGCCTTCTCTCGCTCGATATGAGCCAGTGTCACCCCCTGCTGGGTCGCCAGCATGTCCAGGCGCTCATCATAAGCAGCCATCCGGTTCTGGTACTCGGCCTGGTGAGCCGCATACTGCTGCTGGTCAAGGATCTGCTGGTTCTGGATACGCAGCTGCTCGAACTAGTGAGTGAAGTAGTCCTGACCAGGGAAGGCGGAGCTGCCACCCCCGTACTCGAAGGTGGTGGGGCGGGGGGGGGGGGGGGGGGGCGGCAGCATCATCCACCTCCTCGGGCTCCACATGATCAGCAGCCTCATCCTCCTGGTCCTCTAGCTGGTCCTCCTCTGGGATCTGAGGTTCCGAAAACCCCTCGATCCACATGATGCCTCGGTTCTCTCGCAGCAGGTGCATGCGATGAATCGTCTCTCTGCCGAAGACACTGGTGCTCCCCTGCTCTGTGCACCCCTGCAGTGAAAGCCTGAAGTAGGTGACCAGGCAGGTGATGAGGGGAGTGTAGTGGAGGCTCTTCAATTCCGAAGCACTCTTCTCGAAGTTTCTGGCCACCACAGAACCCAAGTGGAGAGGATGGTCGTGCTGGCGGATGGACTAGATGAAGTACATGGCTCTCTTGGTGATGGCGCTGGCACTGTCTGAAGCTGGGGTGTAGGACTTTGCCAGCAGGTGGTGGAGAATGCGGTTGTCGAGGTGCAGGGTGTTGGCCTTCGTCTTCCCGGCCACGAAGGGACGCTGGCCTGGCCGAGCAAGGTGGGTGTACAGCGTCTTGAAGTTCACGCCCACCGGATCGTTGACCTCGGTGATGTAGTCTCACCATCGGCCAGGCCAAGGTCAAAGTAGTGGCCAGCTCGTGGTAGCTCATAGACCGGGGTACACCACCGAGCCGGAACTTGATGGCGTTACTGTCTCTCCAACTCTCTATGGATGCGTGTTTGAAGGTCGTGTAGAACTCCAGCACGGGCTCGTGGTAGACCTTCTCGTGGATGGAGAGCAGACGGAGCCACGGGCGGTTGGTGACGATGGCGGAGAAGTGCTCGTAGTAGTGCAACTTCTCAAACTCCCGCCTGGACCAGCAGTGGTGCTGCCCAAACGAGCAGGCAGGACGTGCTTGAAACGATCCTGGTAGGGCCCCTCTTCAAATCCCTAATGAACGGGTGCTTGGGGTCGGGTTTCGTCATGGTCCTGCAAAAGAACAACCCAAAGTGGAACCAAAAGAGCCAAAGAAAAGGTTAATCACACCCCCACACTTAAGAACAGAAAACAGCCTAACCATGGTTTCATCCATAGTTCGGGGTTCAAAAACTCGATAAATCAAGCATAATCTGAGTGGGGGTGCACATTCACGATAAAGTAGGCAACTTAAGGTTCACATCCATAGCAAATACATCCTCAAAGCACATCATTAAGGGCCCCAACCGGTGCCCA